TGGGGGAAGGGGAGATCAGGAAGAGCAGCAGTTTTTGGATTCCATTATTCCCTGAACATACTCTCCGGTACTGAGTCTTTTCAATATATTGCTAGTGAATATGTTAAAATGATGTCAATGTAAATGAAAAATTAAGAGGAGGCAATGTAAAATATCCTTGGTCAGAATATGAGCTATTTAACAATAAATAACAAACGGCACTTTTTTATGTGTGCGATCCCTCAGCAACCAGTGTTCCTGCCAGCTAACAGCAAGGCCCTGAGCGCGCTGGTTCCTGGAGACTAGAATAGGGCTACACCTCTGAAGGCCAACAGACATGCGCTGATGAATGGAAATCTCTTGTGTGTGGTCACAGATGCTCAGGAAATGCAAATTCCCCTACCTCACAAAGATTTTTCAGTGTGATGAAAGCAATGCATTGGAAAGATGACTTTGGAGAGGATACGTGTTTCTAGAGACAGTTTTGAGGGCACTACAAGAGTCTTGGTGGTAGCAATGAAGCCTTGAACTGAGCTGTTAAAAATTAAAATAGTTGAAAGAGACTTGAAAACTCAAAGAACTAAAGAAGTTGGTAATTAAGAGGATGTGGAGGGAAGTTGATATGACATCTTTTCTGCTCTGCGCTGCCCTACATCACAAACTTGATTGGTGACCCCCTTTCCAGATCCAGCCTCTCTCCTTAATCTCCTTAGCACATGGCACGTTTGTTCTCTGAATTCCTGTATACACTAGTATGTACCATACAACCTAGCACTTGGTGACGTATCTTTCTTCTTCACTGATCCTCTCTAGACCATCATGTGTCCCACTCGATTTTTCTCTTATGGTGTTTACTACAGTCCTGGGTACACTGGAAAAATCTAATATTCATTTGCTGAACCACCAGTCCCCCATAGGTACAGAAATCATATTTTCAGAAAAACTGATCTAGCAGTTTTTACTTGGTGATTTTTTAGACCTTTTTTCATCAGCCTGATTTAGAACAGGTACTGTCTCCATATTTTACTTCCACGTCTTGTTTTTCAGCTGTATTAGTAATTGTCTGACCATTCATTTTTCTTTTGGAAAGAAAGATCCATTATTGTTTAATACCTTATGTCCTTATGCAGATTTTTAGTCTTACCTAGCTACTCTCTAGGAATGGTCCATGAAGGTGAAAGAACAGTTCTTTAAAGGTGGGACTTGTATTAGACATAAAAAGTAGATTCCAAAAAATAGGGGCTGGATAGATTTGAAATGTGAGACAATGCAAAGGAGAGCAGCCTCAGGGGCAGAACTCTCAGGGGACAGCCTAAGAAACTGCAATGAGCCAGGGAGCACACCAAAGCCAAGGAAGAGAGTCAGGCATACACACTACCTTGGTCACTTATCTTCTTCAATATAGGAAATACCTCTGACTTTCCTTTCCATCCAGAGCAAAATTTTCAAAGAGAGTTCATTTCTGTGATTTCTGGTCTCTAGGATGGCAACTTTAGGAATCATCAAGAACAGACTTATTTCCCTTTATTTTAAATTTCTTAAATTTAAAGTAATTTTTATTTTATTCTTTGAAATATAATTTTATTTTTTAAAATATAATTATTCTAATAAAATTTACCCTATTGTTAAAACAATAACCTGAAATAGTGTGGTTAATACTCCTTCCAGAATTTGAGTAACAAAAGAAACTAGATGGTAAAAAGGAAAGAGCTTATATTTCATTTCTTCCTTCTTTAATTCCTTCATTCTTTCTCCGTACACTTATACAGTGACTATTGTGGACCTACCTCTGATTTAGGGTGCTAAGGATATAAAGATAAGACAAGCTCACAAGAAGCTCAAAGTCTAGAGGGATAGCAGGTAATGAATAACCATAACATATTATTCTAGTAGACTAGAGACACCCACACAGTGCAGTTCACTGGGGCAGTTAGGCTAGACGGAGAGGGGAGTGGTCAGGGAAAAGGTATATCTGAGCTAAGCCAGGCAAAACCAAAGCTACTAGGGAAAAAGGGATGACAGACAGATAGATGATAGACAGACATAGATAGATAGAAGATAGGTAGATGGACGAAGACAGGAAATATATGAATGGACATCTTCCATTAAGGAAAATAAAAGAGGTTCCAAGTGGTCTGAGTGTTTGGGGGGGGGGTGCGTTTGGGGATGGTGGTGATGAAGGGTAAAGATTAGAAAGGTGAGACTGGAGTAAAAAGCAGGGGAAAACACGGGCCTTGAGTGTCAAGCTAAAAAGCAGGAAAACTTGGTGGAATTATGGAAAGGTTATAAACTGGAGAAATAATTAGACTTGGGAAGTTTAGTTTAATAGTGTTAGAGAATGGTTCTGAGAGAGCAGGACCAGAGATAGACCGATGCAATGGAGGTGGAAAGAAGAGTAAAGATTTAAACCCATTAAGGAGATAAAAATATGACTTGGTAATATGTGACTGTGGAGGAAGAAGACAGGAATGACTTCCAGGCTTGTAAATGGTAGGACTTTAGTATGAGAAGACGGTTAGGAGGGGGAGGTGGGAAGGAGCTGATACATTTAGTTTGGGATATACTGACTTTGGGATGTCCAGAAGGTTATTGGAAATACAGACTGGGGCAAAAGTAGGTTTACATGTTTGTATGAAAATAATACAATAATTAATAAATAATATAAGAATAAACTGTGTGTTTTTCGTACTTACAACTGTAAACCTACTCTTGCCCCACCCTGTATATACAAAACTAGAGTTCAGGATAGAGGGCAGAGCTGAAGATGAAACTCTGGGAATCACAGGATGGAAGCGTAGTACCCAGAGCCGCTCTGGAAGAGCAGCGGGACTCGGAAGAGAAGGAATACCGAAGATAACCTCTCTGGGCACGCAGAAACGTCTTTTCAGAGAAGACTAAGAAGAAATGTCTGGAGAGGTGAGTGAAAACCAGGAGAGGCTGGTGCTCTGAAAACCAAGGGAAGAGAGAATTTCACAGACAGTGGTGTGAAATGCTGCCCAGAGGTGGAGTACTGTAAGGACTTAATTTGGTTGTGCTCTGGAACTAGCAGTAGGGTAGTTAAGGGTACGTTATGGGAAGAATGTTTCAGTCAAATGGTGGGGACTAACACCATATTGCAGTGGGTTGATGAGAGACTGGGAGGTGCCAGGGTGGTTTAAGAAGGAAGGGGCACAGGGATGAAGGAAGAGAAGAATGCCAGTTGTTGGAGGATGTGGCGTGATAGCTTTGTCATTGTTAAAACCATTTTGTTAAAACTGTGCCTGGCACAAATCTTAGAATGTAGTAGGCACTCAATAAATTTTTGAATTAGCCATTTAAAAGTCTTGATCAGCTTTTTCTTTCCATAATTACCTCATGCATTTTTCTTCCCTATAACTGTGTCCATATTGACAAAGAACTGTTTTCTACAAGAAATGTTTAAAGTCTCATGCAAATATTTTGTAAAAAATATTTCCTGCTTCAAGTTTAGACTAGTCCTAACAGGTTTTATCAGCAATACCTGCACCGTCAATGATTCTACTGTACAATTTCACTTAAAGCGACAATTAAAGGTAACAACTTCCATTAAGCAACATTAAAAATCAAACAAAAATCACATATTTAATGTTTTACCATAATGATACATTATTATTTCAGGACTTAGTGACTTAATCATCTGCCCATTTCTTAAACCTTTCTCTTTGTAACTTTCTCCTCAGTTTATAAAATTTGTGCTTCAGCATTAAACTTGAATAAGGGTTTAGTTCCAAAGACCAGATTAGTCAAGCCATAGAGTAAGATAGGCTAAGGAATGACTTTGAAAAGTTAATTTTAAAAATTATTCGGTATTGCCAAAAAATACCCTTCAGATCTTCAAATCAATGATATTAAAATAAAAAAGTAGCCCTTGCCTTAGTGGGTTTGCTCAGTGGTTAGAGTGTCGGACAGCCTGAGGACTGCAGGGGCCCGGATTTGATTCCGGCCAAGGGCAGGCACCTCAGCTGTAGGACTGATCCCGGCTGGGGTCGTGCAGGAGGCAACCAATCGATGTGTCTCTCTCACATCAATGTCTCTCTCTCTCTCTCTCTCTTTCCCCCACACACACTTACTCTCAAAAGCAATGGAAAAAATATCAAGTGAAAATTAAAAAAAAAAAAAAAAAAAGTAGCCCTTGCTGGGTAGCTCAGTTGGTTAGAGCATCCTCCAGATATGCCAAGGTTGCGGTTTAGAGCCCTGGTCAGTACACATATAAGAATCAATCAATGAATGCATCAGTAAGTGGAATAAGAAATCACAATGTTTCTCTCTCTCTCCTTTCCTTTCTTTAAAAATGAATCAATAAAAAATTTTTTTAATTACAAAAATTTCTTTAAAAAAAAGTATTGGGTATAAAAGGAAGGACCCATCTAAAAATTAGCTGCCTCTGCTTTAGTTCTGTCGTTTTATGGTAGTAGTTATCAAAACAGCATTTGAGCTTCACTCGGCACCTGGAATAAGCCTTTTTACCATTTCCCTTCCTTTATTTCAAGAAAATGCCTGCACTGACAGTTTCTCGGCCTGCTTTGGAGGCAGCCCTAACACAGCCCAGAGGCAGCCAGCCATCCCTCCGGCCCGCACCTCATTCGCAACCGTAACAGACGGACTGACCATTACATTTCCTTGCAAAGCCGCCACACGAGCAGGTGGCCTGGCCTCTGTCCCTGAGGTAAACAGGCTAAGCCGTCCATTAGGCCGCTGCCTGAAAAGTCCTCATTTGATCCCTCATCTCCGGACACCTTTCCTGGCGGCCTCGGCGCCGCTCCCGCTGCGGGGGCAGCGCGTGCGGACGCAGAGGGGCCTCACCTGAGCTGGGCGTCTCTCTCGGCGAGCAGCGTCCCGCTTTCTCCCGCCGCCACCTGGCCCGCGGTCACGTGCGCCCTCCTGCCGCCCGAATCCACCGCG